GGCGGGGGGGGGCTGTGCATTAGTCTTCTCAGCTCCCACATCTTTCTTCTACTTATTTACTTTTCTTATTTTTCTTATTTTTATGCTTTCTTTCTTGCATTTTTAGAAAAATGAACCTGCCTCTGCTTTTCTAATGCATCTTTTTCTAACCGCTTGGGGTCGTGTGTGCATCCTCTGCTCCCCCCTACACTTAGCCAACCACGTCCACGCTCTCCCCAACAAACCCGAGAAGGACACGGTCTGGCCTGGGGGCGCCCGCCCCTGCCACGCGGCTGCCCAGGGCTGCCGTCCTGTCTGCTTCGGCCTCGCGAACCGGCCGCCCCCATTTCATGTGACTTTGCATCGACCACTGAGCGATTCTCTGGCTGCCGTGCTTCTGTGCCACATGGACCCCGACCACACGGCATGGCAGCCTCTGTTCTTGCTGAAGATCTGATCGTCCCCGCCTTTGTTAACTGGACCGTTTCTCTCGTGCTCACCTGGGAGGTCGCCTTGCTGGATACAGAGTTCCGGGCTGAGGGTCACTTTCCCCGCGAGGCTGGAGGGACCCCCCGCTCCGGCTCCGGCTCCGGCTCCGGCTGCGCCGAGGCGCCGGCAGCCCGCCTGTCATTCTCCGCGGGCCCCCAGGCTGCTCTCTGGGTACTTTTGTCTGGGACGGTTGGTGATTTCACGGCGACGGGCCTGAGTGTGGATTCCTGTTTACCCACCTGCGCGGCGTACATTTCCTGGAGCCCCAGAGCCGTGGTTTCCATCAGCTCAGGAGGTTCTCGGCCGCGGCGCTTCGACTTAGCCTCTCCTCCGAGGCAGGAGTGCGAGGCCGGTCCGCGCCCCCCACGCCCCCCGGGCGGCTTTTCACCCCCGTTTCGTGTTTTCTCTAAGTCTCGCACACGCCGCGTGATTTCTTCGCATTCGCGTCTAGCTCACCTGTTCCCTCGCTGGCTGTCTAATCTGATGTAAAATTCACTAAGTTTTACTTTAAAAGAAATTCTACAATTACAATTTCTGTTTATGGAAGTTCTTTGGTTCTTTTTCAAGTCTGGTCGTCTGGTCATCTCGTGTCTAAATCTATGGTTGCGCATTTCTCGTTCTCTGACTGTGAGTTCGTATTTCATTTGTCTTAATCCGTGGGATTCTTTGGGCCCATATCAGAGGTACTGTCGCCAGAGCGTATTTGTCTGTCTGTGCCAACCCCCTGGGTGCTGTGACCTGCTCCACGCCAGCGGCCTCCGAGGATTCTGCGTTTAGGTCCAGTCGCCTGTCTTACTGCCGGCCCCGGGGCGGGAAGGGCTTTGCACGCCATTTCGTCCCCCCTTTGCCAAAGGGGCAGGGCCGGGGCCGGGAGGGTCCCTTTCCTCTCGGCAAACCCAGCCGTGCACCTGAGGCTGGCTTTCTCCACGGGCAGCTGTTTGCAGGGTTTCGACTTCAGGATGCTGCTGGGAGTGGGGTCTGCACCTTAGGGCTTGTTAACTAGCGTGTGCCCTTCGGTCTGCATCCCTCTCACCCAGTTAGACTCACAAATCACTCACTCGCGTGGGCCGGGAGGGTCCCTTTCCTCTCGGCAAACCCAGCCGTGCACCTGAGGCTGGCTTTCTCCACGGGCAGCTGTTTGCAGGGTTTCGACTTCAGGATGCTGCTGGGAGTGGGGTCTGCACCTTAGGGCTTGTTAACTAGCGTGTGCCCTTCGGTCTGCATCCCTCTTACCCAGTTAGACTCACAAATCACTCACTTGCGCGCGTTATGTTACAGGATACCTAATTCTCACTCCCCTCCCATGCGAAAAGCAGCCTTTTATTTAGGGAAGAAAAAAACCCCTGGGAACTGAAGCTGTTACATGTTTAAGGCGAAGGGCTGGCTCGCCGGTCTCTGCAGAGGCAGCAGGAGCTCGCGTGCACACTGGCACACGTGTCATATCATATCGTGTTATGTTCTACGTGATGTAACGTGATATAATGCGATGACATACGCTATAGTGTGATGCAATGTAATTAGTATAATTAACGTGACATAATACGATACACGATATAACGTAACGGAACACGCCGACACCAGCCGGGCCCTCGGCGCGGCTCTCACCTGCTGCTCACCTGGGAAGGGTGACGGGGAGCCATTTCCCGTGTGACATAAAATATATTTATTTTTTCTCTATTGCAAAAGAAACTTGTCCTTGTGCCGAGAAGTGTGAGCAGCACCACGGGCTGTCCCTCTGCGCGCTGGACAGCCACGTTCGTCCCTCGGCATTGTCTGTGCACGCCGGCCACACGCGCGTGCGGACACGGCACACGCTCTCTGCCTTTGGAAACGAGCCAACGGTGCCACACCAGGCACTCGCTGACGCCGTCCACTCTCCCTCGGGTGTCTTTGGGGATGGGTCCCGTCAGTGAGGAGGGGCCACCTCGTTTTCCCAGTGGCTGCATGGGGGCCCCTCACACAGACACGTGTGACAGGCGGTGCGTGTGACGCTGACAGGGAAACATCTGGGCACGTCTGTGCTTCAGCGCACGTCTCACTAGGTTACACGCTCATTTTGTGGAATAATTGGGTCAAAAAAGACAACCGTTCAGGTTGCCGCCAGCCACTGGCAAAGCGCCCTCCAGAGAGGTGCCTGGTCCCCAGCCACGGCGTGAGCGCTCACCTCTGCGAACAGCGGCGTCACCGTCCCCATTTGCTCTGCCCGGCAGGTGAGGGCGGCTTTCATTCGCAGACCCACACAGACACAGCGCATATAGTGACAGACACATGCGAGAGTCCTTGTCCATCAGAGACAGATGCCGAACTATTGACGGGTGAAGTGACAGGCCACCTGAGGGTGCTTCGCGACACTCTGGTGTGGGGCAGCAGGGGTACAGGGAAGGGGACCGACTGGCCGTGTACTGGCAGCCGTTCGGGCTGGTCATGGAGGACCCAGTTTGCGGCTGCTGCCCAAACCCCGGCCCCACGCTAAACCACCAGACACCGCCGTCTCTGCGGGGCCAGCGCCCACTGTGGGGACGGCACGCGGCTCCCCCAGGCGGAGCGTCTTGGGTCGAGCACCTTCTCGCGGGCCCCCGTGCGGGGTGAGCCACGGGCCCTCCCGACCGCCCCCCGTCACCATGCACAGCCCCAGCATGCGGGGCGCGGGCGGTACTCACGGCTCCAGAGGGAGTAGGCCAGGCGGCAGTTGAGCCGGCGGTAAAGCTGCTTGTTCACGGGCCAGAGGACGAGTGTGCATAGCTGGATGAAGTTGATGATCAGCCCGCTCACCACGAAGACGAAGCCGATGAGGAGGTGCACGACAAACTGGGTCTTCAGGAAGGCGAGCAGGCCCATGGTCGCTACTCAGTAGCGAGTGCAAGGTCCTTCACTGAGAACAGCCGTCCTGAGGGCAGGGACAGCGGTCAGGAGCTGCGCCAAGGCCCAGGGGCCAGGGGACAGCGGTCAGGAGCTACACCAAGGCCCAGGAGTCAGGGGCCAGCGGTCAGGAGCTGCGCCAAGGCCCAGGGGCCAGGGCTGTGGGCAGAAGAGAAACACATGGTTCTCACACCAGGGCCCAGAGCCGCAGTGCCCGAGGGCACGGAGCTCACTCACACACAGGCAGGAGCCTTCCTCCCACAGGTGACGTACAGGTGGCCTGACACACACATCATTCACAGGTGTGACATGCACAGTCACACCAGACACACGTACACACCACACCATGTACACATTTATGCATATAAGGAAAGAAAGAAAGGATTAGAAGAAACGCGCCCAAATATTAAGTGATTATTTCTAAAGGCTTTAGTGTGATTACAAATGTTTTAGTGTCTTATTCAAAAGATTAAAGCTGCACATGAAATCTCTTAAGCTAAAAAGCTTTTGTTTTGGTTTCTAACACAAAAGCACAACTTCCCCAAGAACCAGTATTTCTGCCCTTCGCTTCTAAACGCATTTCTCAGTCCCAAAGCAAGAAGCGAAGGCCAGAGCTGGGCTTCGAGGCTGAACCCGCTCTGGGAGCTGCCGGGCAGGACAGCCCCGCTCGCGAGGGGACACGGAAGCCGAATTCAACCCCTGGCGAGCTCAGAGCTGGCACGTGACATCGCGGAGGCCACCAGCCGTGAGCCCTGCGACCCAGTTCTTTGGGGTGGGGCTGGGGCTGGCCCTGGAGACAGCTGCACAGGACGCTCGGCCTCGCAGCCCGGCGCCTGGCGGACGAGCCGACCACACCACGCACACTGCGGCGTGGCTTCCGAGGGCCCCTCGCGTGGCTGGCTCTGGGGGAGGTCAGCACCGTGGGAGGACGCTCAAGCAGGACACCCTCGTGCCGATGAGCCACCGGGGACACGGAGCCTGCGGGAGCCCACAGCCCAGCGACACGGACCCAGCAGCTGCTCATGCCCGACGTGGTGACCCCGGGGAGGCGGGGGCGAGGACGGCGCAGTGCTGTCCGAGCCCCTGTGGGGGGCCGTTTGTCACGCAGCGTGAGAAAACGGGTCCGTCACTCTAAGAGCTGGTGCTGCTAACAGGGCACTGTGAATGTGACGGGGCAGCAGCGACACTTCCAGGTGCGGGCTCCGTCCTGCGCACCCGCCGCTGGTCTCGCCCACACCGAGTGGACACCACTCTGCCCTAGTTGCTGGGGAAGCTCACGGAAGCCCAGCGGGGGTGAGTGGAGTGTTCGGGCCACATGGTGAGCGGCAGCAGGGCCGGCGGTGACACCCGAGTCCTCCCGGCCTCCGAGGGGCCTGCCGGGGCCTGGGCCGCTCCGTAAAGCAGAGTCTCCAAGACGCTGGCCAGGCCAGAGGCCGGCTTCCTTCTGACTCCAGGGATGATGGCTTTGACCAGACCCAATGCCATCGCCACCACCTGACTCCTGGCCTGGCAGCCGGCAGGCTCTCTGCACCCCAAAGCCTCACTGACCACCCCAGGTCAGGCACATGGCTTCAACACATGGGCCAGAATAAACGGGGTCCCCGGAAGCCAGCTCCAAGGCTGGCACATCGGCTGTGCTGCTTTTCGAAGCTGACCCCAGGTTCCACGCAGACCTCCATCACTGGGCGCGAGGTACAAGAACCTGCCTTAAAGCCAGCTGCATTGAGCTGTAATTCACACACAGTTCAGACGCCCTCGCTGAGTGTGCACTGTGACACCTGAAGCCACTGCTGCAGTCAGGACAAGGAACTTCCATCGGCCCCACCCGGCCGCCCGGCCCCCCAATCCTGGCCCCCGGCACCACCTCTCGGCTTCCGGACACCAGATCAGCCTCTTTTCTCAGAGCCTGACAGCCCAGCCCCGCACGCCTGCCTGCTGGGCCCAGCCTCTGCCCACAGGGAGCTCCCCGTGCAACCCTGCGGTGGGCCCCGGGCTCTCCCTCAGAAACCCACTGAGCTGCCATCCCGGCCCTGGTCTGTCCCCTGAATCTGGAAAGTCACCACAGAACCCACCGCAGCCTGAGCGCTCCCGTCCAGTGGCCCCCATGGCCGGAGCCCCCGGGGCCACGTGGGAGCCCTGACGAGGGCTGCTGACTGTGGCGTGGGGCTGGCCTGGGCCTGGAGCCCTGCAATGACCACCGGCGCCTGGGCGACTCACCGCCTGTCCACCCGCCCGTCCGCCCAGAAACAAGTGAGGCCCAGGCTTGGTCACGGCTCCCACGTGTGGTGTCGGCCGCCCTTGGCCATGCGTCTCTGCTGGGTCACATGCTCCTGTGTCACCCCTGGGAGCCACAGTGACCGACGTGTGCTGAGTGGCAACGTGCAGGCAGAGGAGGAGTGACGCGCCTGAGACGCACTGCCCGCCGTCCGCCACCCGCTGGGCTCCCGTCACAGAGGCCGCACGCTCCCCTGCCGGGGACCACCCCGCAGTGTGGTCCATGCGGCAGACATGGGCCGCCCCGATAGGGAAGGTCAGCGGCTGCAGTTCAGGGGTCCAACCCGCCAGCCCGCCCCCCATGCGCACCCAGTGCCAGCCCCGGGCTCAGACGTCACCGCCTCTCAGCCCAACACCTGGCTGTGACGGCAGGCCACACGTGCCAACTTCTCAGGCCTCAGACTCCGGCGGGCCCGCCTGCCTCCCCCTGCACGGGGCAGTGACAGGAAGACGCTCTGCTCCCCACTCGGCCCATGTCCTCACCAGCCTCTCCCCAAGGCCCCAGGGCCGTCAGAGCGGGAGAGCAGGAAGGCCTTGACTCAGCAGCCCCCAAGAGCGCTGGCCCACGTACCCCTTACAACAATTTCAAAGGAAAGACACAAATGACCGCTCAAAACGGCAGCAACGCAGACACGGCCCTTCCCGAGGCCGGAGGGCGCGCGTTTTAGGGAACATGCAACGCATTCTAGTATAAAAGGGTGGATCCCACGCATAAATTACGGAGCCTGACGGGAGCAAACGCCCAAGGCTCCTCCCCCGCCCCCCACCGCCCCAAGGTAACTATTGTTCCTTAAAGCTTGATTACGCCCCAGGCCAGAGCCTGTCATGCCTTACTTTTCAAACTTCACTCCTCTGCGATTTTCTGTTTTTGCTCAATCTTATTTCTAAAATCCCTCCACGTGCCACGGGTCGCTACGGCTCATGTTTGCTGCTGGGGAGGGGCCAGTGGGAGACTGCCCCACAGGGCGCCGGGGTCGCCCAGGAACAGTCTCTGCCGCAATCGTGAGCTGCCAGGGCTTCTGCACGCGGTCGGGACGGTCCCTGGACTCGAGCCCATCCGAACTCTCCCAGACCAGCTAAACCGCCTCCAACGGGGAGCCGCCAGCGGCAGATGACACTCTCGGCTGAACTTAATTTTGGTCCAATCTAGCATAAGGTGGCAGCACACAGGGATGCTAATTGGTATTTTCCTGATGATTATGACGTCAAAACTCCAGCACTGCAGGCTCTATGGCCCTAAAGCTCCACATGTCTTAGACGGGAAACTGAGGACAGAGGGTCGAGAGGCCGTGGGGCCTGCAGCTCAGGACAGGGAGGCCACAGCGAGGCCTGGGCCACGAGCTGCTCCTGACTCCTGCGTCTGGACATGAAGACGAGGGTCCCCTTGAGAAAAGGCCTAGACCCCAGTTCTCCGCCTGCCTCTAGGGCCGCCAGAACCGAAAGGCGGGCCGGCGCCCACACCATTCACGTGCTCAGATGCCTCGTGCAGGGGGCGAGGACACCTGAGTCGGCTTCTCAGTCGCTGCAGCAGGTAACAGGTTCCAGGAGCCTGGCATCTGCACAGCCCGGCCCCGGGAGGGCGGGGTACGGCTGCCTCCTGGGTTTCGTGGCCCCGCTACAAGCCACCAGGACCCCATTTTCTCAAGACAGCAGACAAGCTGCACACTCCTCCTCCGCAAGGGGACATACAGGGTGCTGTCACCGCCTCTGGGACAAAAGGGACAGGCTGCTGGCCAATCAGAGACAGGGAGTGAGGCAGGTTTCTCAGTGAGGCTGTACTAAAAATAGTTCTACGGTGGTAAGTCTCCCAGGGGACTCCTGTACCAGCCACCACACAGAGACATGGCTTGCGTAAGCCAGGCAGATTCCCAGTGGGGCGGGAAGGACTAGGGACTCGAACCAGAGCCCCCTCCTAGCTGAGCGCCCCGAGAAATGCTAACCCCGGGGGTTCTGATGCTTGGTCCCTCCAGGTGCTTCTGCTGCTCATTCTAAGCCTGTGGCTCCTGTCACCTGCTGGTCCTGCTCTGGACCCAGAGGCGACGGGAGAGCTGGAGCTGGGAGCCCCGTGGCCCAGCTCAGCACCATCACGTAGGGGCCCGGCCTGCCTGGTGGGCTCTGCTCTCAGACCCGACTCCGGCACCTCGTTACAGGAACTGTGTCCCCCAGAAAGATATGTAAGGGTCTTAACCTCAGCACCTCAGGATGTAGCTGTATGTGAAAATACGGCCTTTACAAACGTAATCAAGTTAACTTAGGCCGTTAGGGTGGCCCTTATGCCATATGACGGGTGTCCTCATAAGAGGTCAGGGCAGACCACACGCAGGGACAGCCACGTGAGGGCACAGGGAGCAGACGCTGTCTGTAT